ACAGAAAACGAAGAGATTCAGTACAGAGAAGAGAGATCACAGAATATATGTACCCCCATGTTCATAGCAGCACTATTTACAATAGCTAAGGTCTGGAAACAGCCCAAATGTCCATCAGTAGACGAATGGATAAAAAAACTGTGGTACATATACACAATGGAGTACTATGCAGCTGTAAGAAAGAAGGATCTCTTATACTTTGAGACGACATGGAGGGACCTGGAGAGTATTATCCTAAGCAAAACAAGCCAAGCAAAGAAAGACAAATATCACGTGATTTCACTTATTTGTGGAATATAATTAACTTAACAGTCTGAGGAACTGGGTAGACCCAAAGATGTGGAAGTAGGGTACAGACTGACAAGCCTCAGAAGAGGGGTGTGGGGGAGAGATGAACCACAGAACTTATATGCATGTACACATAACTGATGGTCATGGACAACAAAGCTGGGGACGGGGTGGGGGATGGAAAGGAGGGTGTCAATGGAGAAAAAAGGAGAAACATCTGTAACAAAAATAAAGTAATTTAAAATAAATAAATAAATTTTTTTTTAAAGAACTATGTTAAAACTAAAAAAAAAAAGATCTGGAAACAGCCTAAGTGTCCATCAATAGATGAGTGGATAGAAAAGCTGTGGTACATTTATACAATGGAATACTATGCAGCTGTAAGAAAGAAAGATCTTTTATCCTTTTAGACAACATGGAGGGACCTTGAGAGTATTATGCTAAGCGAAATAAGCCAATAGAGAAAGACAAATACCACATGATCTCACTTATTTGTGGAATATAATGAACAAGGTTGGCTGATGAATGAAATAGACCCAGAGACATAGAAAGGAGTATGGTTCAGACTGACAAACCTCAGAGTAGGGGCCCGGGGGGGATGAATGAGATGAACCAAAGAACCTATATGCATTTATGCATAACCAATGGACATAGACAACAATGCTAGGGGGTGTAGGGGTAGGATGCACAGGAGAGGGTCGGGGTGGGGAGAAGGAGAAACATCTGTAACAAAAATAAATTAATAAAAATTGGGATAAAAGAGAATGCAGAAAACAGAGAATCAATAGAGAGAGAAGATAACACAGAAAACGGAGAGAATCGGGAGAGAAAGAAGAGAACACAGAAAACAGAATCAGGAGAGAGAGAAGAGAATACAGTTTTGCTCAGTTGTTGGAGCATGGGCCTGTGGATCAAAGAGTCACAGGTTCGATTCCAGTCAAGGGCACATACCTCGGTTGTGGTTTATCCCTGGCCCTGGTCGGGGTTGTGCAGGAGGCAACCAGTCAATATGTCTCTCACACGTTGATGCTTATCTGTCTCTCCCTCTCTTTTACTCTCTCCTCCTTCCTCCTTCTCTATTTGAAGATAAATAGAAAAATATCCTCGGCTGAGCGTTTTTTTTTAAAAATCTAGTTTTAGAGGAAAAAGTATTTCTTATTTTCCTGGTTTAGTTGGTAGCTATTACTTTCATTCCTATAAATTTCGCTTAATTTCTCCCTGCCTCATTTTTATCATATATAAATAAAATAATGGGCAGTCATTTTCAACCCCAGAGTCACATTAGAATCACCTATGTAGCTTTTAAAAAATATGTCTAGGCTCCACTGTAGACCAATTAAGTTAGAACTTGGGATAGGGTCAGAGTATCAGTATTTTGGGGGAGTTTTGTTGAGGTTTTTTTTGTGGGTTTTTTTTTGTTGTTGTTGTTTGGTGTTTTTTTTTTGAGATTCTGATGTATGGGCAAAGTTGACGACTCCTAGATTATATTTGAAGTATAGTCCTAGTGATTCTATATCAAGAGTACATAATAGGAATATACTTTCTCTGGCATAAAAGTATTTCCCTGGAATAAGACAAGCTTTTCAGACAAATCATTTTCGCTTTAGGAATAGTAGATGGAATCATCATTTTTCTTCTCTTCTCAAAGCACGTATTTCTTGATGAGGTGTTGGTATTGGAGTATAAAAATTTAATCTAATCAGCCCTGGCCAGTTTGACTCAGTGGTTGGAGCTTCGGCCTGTGGTCCAGGGAGACCCGGGTTTGGTTCCCACTAGGGGCACGTGCCTTGGTTGCGGTTCGTCCCCGGCCCTGGTTGGTCATGTGGGTGGCAGCCACTCGATATGTCCCTTTCACATCAATGTTTCTCTCTCTCACTCTGTTCCTCTCTCTCCCTCCCACTCTACCTGAACAAAAAAAAAATGGAAAAATGTCCTCGGGTGAGGATACAAAAAAAATTTATTCCAAGAATTTCTCAAAAGAAAGACCCAAAATGTGAGTTTCACATTCACCAGATATTTACTTCTTAAGAGTTCTTAAGGTCACTAATGTTTGAAAAAAAAAACCACTTTGTTTTCATTTCATTCATTGGGGAAGAAAGACGCACAGTTCTAAGATATCACTTTAAGAGGTCCCCTTTTCCCTTCCGTGGACCTCTGTGATGCACTCCCCTAGTAACAGCTTCTTTGATGTGCAAACATTCTACTGGCAAGTTGTGAGGGCAAGCCACTCATATTGGACAGATCAGGTTTCTTCTGGGAATTGATCTTAGATTTGGAATTTTCTCTTGTGCATGACATGGTAAAAATTTATGGTTTTTACTTTCTACTATATGAGGCATAGCAGACTGTATCTTTCTCATTTGAAGTACTGATAAATCTTACGAGTGCATAAAAAATAGAATAGTCATGTACAAACCTAAAATCACAGAATAATTATGTCTTATTTCTTTATTTTGTTTATTTTTGCTTTAGTCTCCCTATACATTTTAAAAATATTTTTATAAGGTTAATTTGGGAGAACAATACTATCATCTATATAAGTTAACTTTGTTTTTTTGTTTGTTTGTTTTTTTATCCTCACCCGAGGACATTTTTTCCATCCTTTGTTCTGATAGAGCGGGAAGGAGAGAGAGGAAGAGAGAGAGAGAGAAACATCGATGTGAAGGGACACATCGAGTGGCTGCCACCCGCATGACCAACCAGGGCCAGGGACAAACTGCAACCGAGGTACGTGCCCTTAGTGGGAACCGAACCTGGGTCTCTCGTACCGCAGGCCGACACTCTAACTGCTGAGCCAAACCGGCCAGGGCTATATAAGTTAACTTTGTATTAAGAGTTTATCTTTTTCCTGTTGGATTCTTTATTCAATCTGTAGTTTTTGTACCTAGTATGGGATAATAGACATACATCAGAAATAGATTCTGCTCTTAGGTACTTTTAATGTAGTAGAAGAGATAAGATTTTTACATAATGAATGACATAACAATCTAAAGAAAGTGCCATGGCCGGTTTGGCTCAGTGGTAGAGTGTCAGCCCATGGACCAAAGAATCTCAGGTTTGATTCCAGTCAAGGGCACATAACCTCGGTTGCGGTTCAGTCCCAGGCCCTGGTCCGGGTTGTGAGGGAGTCAGCCAATCAATGTGTCTCTCTCACAATGATGTTTCTTTCTCTCTCCTTCCCACTCATTCTGAAGATAAAAATGGAAAAAAATATCCTTAGTGGTGAGGATTAAAAAGAAAGTACAGATCATATACTTTAAGAGTTAGGAGGAGAGAGAGATTCCATACAAGAATCAAGGAAGGAGGTGGTTTAAAAAAATATATTAAATTTATTGGGGTGGCATTGATTAATAAAATTACATAGGTTTCAGGTGTACAATTCTATAGTATGTCATCTGTACATTGCATTGTGTGCTCACCACCAGGAAGGAGGTGGTTCTTCAACTGATACTGCAGGATTTATATGTTCATGTTTCTGGGGATACTCTTAGAAGTAATATGAGTGATATTCATTAAGCTGTTTTTAATATAGCGTAAGATTCTATAAAATAGTAAGGAAATAAAAGTAAAAGATAGGATTCTTAAGAAGACTTTTGTTTCCAGTTATCATTCTGATTCCAGGACTGAGGGACAGTTTGTTCTCTCTTTTCATTCACTGAAACATATGTTGCTCTTTCTCTTCTTTGGTTCTTAGAAAAAGAATCGGAAGAGACTAAAGTCTCATTAGAGATATTTGCACTTTAATAATTGCCTTCAATATTAATAAATCTAGAATGAATTAATTTCAACATGGATTTCAGTGTTAGGGAAGAAAACGAGACCTTCATGTTTTCTGTTCCATATTCATCAAATTACACCATCCTCATTTTTTTTTTTTTTTTCTTATGAAAGTTCCTCCCATTCTGGGACTGTTCAGTTTTCTGCGAGATACCACCCAGCAAAGGAAACACATACCCCACTTACATGCAGGCTCTCTGGTGCACAGTTTCTAAGTGCCACTCTCCACCCCTCAATACACTCCATGATCTTAAAAAAGAAATTTCTATCTTATTGCTTAATAAAACATATGGCCATTAATTTGGAAAATGTCTTTTCTCTGTTGCTTTTATTTTCACTTTAGAAAAGATGTATATTATTTGGAATTGAATGGAGTTGGGAAAATGGATTTAAGGCAGTATCAAAGTTCTTGGGAAATTAAATTTATGAAAATTATAATGTGTGGTTACATTTTGTGTTCCTCAGAGGCAAAAGAGCACTATGAGCTATCCCATCCTACATTATTAACACTTTAGACTTTATCTTTCGACTGAGTCTTAAGGGATATAATTAGCATTTCAGATAGATTGAGAAATTGAAAATGAAGGAAATTTATAAGTTAGGTGTCTAAAGATATGATTCAGAACTAGCACTTAAGTATAATATTACTAGCGCATATGTGTATATTAGCAGGCTATTTCAACCAGTTACAATATAAACAGTATTTTGATACTATCTTCAAAAACTAGATCTACCTTATCTCCAGGCAACAGGTTTAGCAGGCAGCTCCCTCCCAGGTCTAACCTATAAGGATCTGAAGTGGAACCTTCCCAAAGACATTGCTGTTGATGCTGGGCAGACCTCAGTATCTCTTCCTGACTGCTCTATGCAAAATTCCTCTGAAAGCCCCTTAGTTCACCATTACTAGATCCGTTTCCTGCTTCTTTTATCTCCAGCATGTCAGTTGCTCTCCAGTTTTTAAACCACTCAGATCCAGGAAGTCTTGCTACCTGCCAAAGCAAAGAGTCCCATGAGGCTAAGCCAACAGAACTCAGGCATGCATCAATCCACACATCTTGGAAAAATAGCTTAGTGGTGAGTTGTACTCTGGCATTTTATTTTTTCCTCCCATTCTCAGAAGGTAGAGGTAAAACAATCTCCTGCACAACTGAGAGCTAGAAGAAAGTAAAGTCCAGTTCTGTTTGCCCACCTGCCCACGCTAGTACCTGTGGCTACTGAATGGTGCAAGCCGTGAGGTCAAATGCTCTCTCACTTTGTTTTTTATTTTTTATTAATTTGTTTTTATTACAGATGTTTCTCATTTCCCCCATTGACACCCTCCTCCCCTCCCCCCCCACCCCCAGCTTTGTTGTCTATGTTCATTGCTCATGCATACATGCATATAAGTTCTCTGAGGCTTGTCAGTCTGTACCTCATCTCCATGTCTCTGAGTTCATTTTGTTCAGCAGTTTGTTTAGTTCATTATTCCACAAATAAGTGTCTCTCACTTCTTTTGAGTCCTGGCTAGACACTTGAATAAGGAGCAGTGGAACATCTAAATCTAATGGAGCCTCAAAGTGGATATTACTTATTTTTGCCTTTTTTGTCGTTCTGACATTACACTGAGGCCCACAATCCCAAAACAATATAAAAATAGACTATAAAGAGCTTCTGAGTTAATTTGCTGAAATCCTATTATTTTGCAGATTAGGCAACCGAATGCTAAAGAGATGGCATTCAGTGATTTACAGACAGAACTAGTCTGACTCCAATTACCTTTCCAGGGCACTATATTATCCCCTTGATTTACAGCTTTGTTTTATTAGGGTTAGACCATAATGAGAATCTTTCTGGAAATTAAATATTCTGTTGGATCAAATGATGTCCCTTCCATTGATATTTTTAAGACCACTAGAAAGATCCACCCAATCTTTAGCTTGTAGCTCCTAGGAGATGAAGTCTGAGCAGAGGGTGAGAATGGGAACATAGAGGAGAGGTGTATTTCCTCCCCCTATTGGCTTTAATGAGAATGACAAGCCTGTTTTTTTTGCTGGGAAAAGAAATATATTACATTAAAAATAAGTCAACAGAATGAATGGATAAAGAAAACGTGTATGTATATGCAATGAAATATTATTCAGCCTTTAAAAAGGAAATCCTACCATCTTCAACAACATGGATGAACCTGGAGGACATTATGCTCAGTGCGATAAGCCAGACAAAGAAAAATACTTCATGATCTTACTTATTTGTAAAATTTAAAATAGTCATAGAAGCAAAGTAGAAGGGTGATTTTCAGAGGCAGAATGAAGAGGGAAACGGGGAGATGTTGGTCAAGGGGTAAAATGTTTTAGTTATGCAAGATGAATAAGTTCTGGAGATCTGATGTACAGCAATGTGACTATAGTTAACTATATTGTATTGTATACTTTAACTTTGCTAAGAGGATAGATTTTAAGTGCTGTCAGCACATATAAGAAAGGGGGTAAAAAGGAAATGGTAACTATGTGAAGTGATAGTTATGTTCATTAGCTTCGTTGTGGGGATCATTTCACCATGTACACATATATCAAAACATCACACACCTAAAAAACATTTTTTATTGATTTTAGAGAGAGAAAGGGAGAGAGAAAAACATCGATGAGAGAGAACATTGATTGGCTGCCTCCTGCATGCCCCCCACTGAGGATTTGGCCCACAACCTGGGCATGTGTCCTGAATGGGAATTGAACTGGCAACCTCTTGGTGCATGGATTGACGCTCAACCACTGAGTCATACCAGCCGGGCGAAACATCATACACTTTTTATATGTAATTTTTATTTTCAATTATACCTCAATAAAGATGATGGGGGCGGGCATAAATGATACAATGCAAAAGGACAATGCTCAATCTATGGTAGTTGAACTTCTTTCGGTACATAAATGCTCATAAATCCCTCCAGGAATTAAAAAATCATTTTTCACATTATATGGTAAGAACATGATAAAAATACAATTTAAGCCCTGGCCGGTTTGGCTCAGCGGTTAAAGCGTCGGCCTGCGGTACAGAGAGACCCGGGTTCGGTTCCCGCTAAGGGCACGTACCTCGGTTGCAGTTTGTCCCCGGCCCTGGTTGGTCGTGCGGGTGGCAGCCACTCGATGTGTCCCTTAACGTCGATGTTTCTATCTCTCTCTTCCTCTCTCTCCCTCCCGCTCTATCTGAACAAAAAATGGAAAAATGTCCTCGGGTGAGGATAAAAAAAAAAAAAAAAAAAAAATACAATTTAATATTGGTACATTATAAAACAAAGTAATTCTAATCTTATTTTCAACATGTCCTCATTTAACTATGAACTTCATTTTATATTAGTGATTTTAACATACTTAACTAACTTGCGCTAGCTAGTTTGTCTCAGTGGTTAGAGCATCAGTCCACAGGCCAAAGTGTCTTGGGTTTGATTCCCAGTCGAGGGCACATACCTGGGTTGCAGGTTCAATCCCTGGACCCGGTTGGGGTTGTGTGGAAGGCAACCAAGTGATGTGTCTCTCTCACATAGATGTTTCTTTCTTTCTCTCCCCCACTCCCTCCCTTCCACTCTATCTAAAAATCAATGGAAAAATATCCTCAGGTGAGGATTAACAAAAAACAAAACAAAACAAAACAAAAAACCACTTAACAAACTTAATTGAAATCTTTGTTATTTCTGAGAAATCTGAAAATTTTATAGTGCTTTAAACTATTTTTCTCCCCTCAATGTATATGTATTTTTGGGGGTCCTGTATTGGTTCTGTCCTTTATTTTCAACCCTATAAATCAGATTCTTAAAATTAATTAATGCTTAGTTAAATATACCTACATATTTACTATTTTTGTTGTCTATTCTTTTTTATATTTCAGACTTTGTCAGTTCATTTTCTTTCTATGAGAAATACATCCTTTAGAATTTTCTTGAATGAGGGCCTATTGGTGGTAAATTCACTTTTTATTTATCTAAAATATCTTCATTCTACTCTTAATCTAAAAACATAATTTCATTCAGTATAAAATTATAGTTGACAGTTACCATATTTTCTTGATTTGAAGAAACACTACTATTTTATGCACCATTATGAAATTTAAAAGTAAGTTTTTAGCTAAACTATCCACATATGAAGTGACACCAACTTTAAGATGTACCCCAATTGCAGAGATGTGAAAATCTGTGCCTCTTAGAGTCAGTGAAATATTACCTATTTTTCTTAATTACAGATATCTGCTCTTTGCTAGCTTCCGTGTTACTGCTGAGAAGTCATTCACCAGTCCAATTGCTATTCTTTGTAATTATCTGTTGTCGTATCTTCTGCTTTTTAGACCTATAAATGGCAGTTTCATTATGAGTGTGTAGGTAAATAATTCTCTTTGCTTACTTTTCCTGTGTTTTTTTTTTCCTCACCCGAGGACATTTTTGCATCCATCTTCAGATAGAGAGCGAGGAAGAGAGAGAAAAACATCTATGTGAGAGAGACACATCAAGTGGTTGCCACCCACATGACCCCAACCAGGGCCAGGGACAAACTGCAACCGAGGCACATGCCCTTAGCTGGAACTGAACCTGGGACTCTCTGGTCTGCAGGCCAACCCTCTAGACACTGAGCAAAATCAGTCAGGGCTCTTCTTGGTTATTTTTTAGACCATTTATATTGATGTCTTTTAACAATTCTATAACATTCACAGACATTCGTTATTCAAATATTGCCTCTACCCTATTTTCTAAATTATAGCCTTCTTGGACTCCAATTAGACATATGATAGACTTAGTTTATTTTGTGTGTTCTGAAACTTTCACATTTACCATTTACTTTTTTCTATGTTTTCTTCCTAATAATTTCTTCATACTTATCTATAAATTCACTTATTTATTAGCTAGGTCTAATCTGCTTTTAAGGTATCCATTAGATTTTCAATTTAAAATTTTTACACTTATCACCTTGGCTGGGTGGCTCAGTTGGTTGGAGCACTGTCCCATGTACCATAGGTTGCAGGTCTGCCCTGACTAGTTTTGCTCAGCCGTTAGAGCATTGGCTCTGGGACCAAAGGGTCGCAGATTCGATTCCCAGTCAAGTGCACATACCTGGGATGCAGGTTCAATCCCAGCCCTGGTCTGGGTTGTGCAGGAGGCAACCAATCGATGTGTCTCTTTCACATAGATGTTTCTCTCTCTGTGTCTCTCTCTCCTTTCCACTCTATTAAAAAATCAATAGAAAAATATCCTCGGGTGAGAATTAACAACAGAAAAAGGTTGCAGGTTTGATTTTTATACTTATCATTTCTAGAAGTCTTATTTGGTTGTGGTCTCTTGTAACTTACTCTTATTTTCAAAATTCTGTCTTATTTCTTTAAACATCTAAATGGTTATTTTGTATTCTCTTGTGTAAGTCTTTGTTCCTAGTAACAGTAGGCATAACATTCTAAAACCTAATAATTGTAGAAAAATATTTTTTCTCTAGTCTGTTAAGCACCATGTAATACATTCATATACTTTATAGAGATTTAGGTTAATACATTTTGGGGGGTTTCATTTCAATCATATAATCTTTGTTCTTACCAAAAGTTACACTAATTACAACTTAGAACATTGCACAGCCTCTTGACAATAGGGGGAGATACTGTAATACAGGTAAATACTACCTATTTTTACCCTCAATATAAGTGTGGAAGAAACAAAATTAAGGTTGATTTACTGAAATCAGGTTTTTTAAAAATATCAATTTTGTTTGATGATAATAATATATAGGAATTACTTTGTAACCAAAAAATAAAATAAGTAGTGGTAAATCTTTTATCAATGACCTACTAGTTCAAGTTTTTATAAAGGTTTTATTAGATGTGAACTAAAATTTCCCCAAACATTTTATGTGTGTCTTTTTTATTTCTATACTCTCAGAAACTATCTATTTAAATGTGTTGCACTTACTTATGGCAGTGCTTTAAATAAGTTATCAGGTAAGAATTTTTTTTAAAATGTAAATTAGCCTTTTAGGTCAACATGTTACTTGCTGTTTTCCTGAGACCTATTGTGTTTGTCAGGGTGGCGCCTTATAATGAATGTTTTAAGTTGTGTTCTATTTAGAGCTACTTATTTGAGTTTGTGTAGGCTAGAACATTGTGGGTTGATCTACAGTACACATTTAGTTACTTTGCAATTTCTCTTCGTAGGCTTGTTTTGATCCACCTCTTGAAGTAGTTTCCACCAGGAACCCAATCATGTACAACAAAAGGGCAGCTGACCCAGACCATCCTGACCTTGCTGATTTGTTGGTGAAAAACAAGAATCTTTTAGCTGAGGTATATGGATTATCTGAAAATAAAACACTATGGCAAAGTATGTCCTCTGTAAAAGTAGGGGGAAAACACTCTGATAACGGGCTTAAAGTACTATCTCAGTTCAGTTTTGCTTTTTTCCTCAATATTAAAATCTCTCATCACTGAGGAGCATTAATTTAGATATGAATCTGCCTTTTGCCAGAGAAATCCCTTTGAAGATGGCACATAATTGCTTTTATTTTTTTTTCAAAGCACATTAGACTGCCTTTATTTTTTTAAATTATTTTTATTAATTTGTTTTTGTTACAGATGTTTCTCCTCTTCCCCCCATTGACACCCTTTTCCCCCATCCCTCCCGCCCCACCCCTAGCTTTGTTGTCTATGTCCAACGGTTATACGTACATGCATATAAGTTCTGTGATTCATCTCTTCCCCTACAACACCCCCTCTTCTGAGGTTTGTCAGTCTGTACCCTACCCCTATGTGTCTGGGTCAATTTTGTTCATCAGTTTGTTTTGTTCATCATATTCCACAAATAAGTGAGATTATGTGATATTTGTCTTTCTCTGCTTGGCTTGTTTCGCTTAGCATAATTCTCTCCAGGTCCCTCTATATCATCTGAAATAAGAGATACTTCTTTCTTACAGCTGCAAAGTACTCTATTGTGTACATGTACCACAGCTTTTTTATCCACTCATCTACTGATGGACACTTGGGTTGTTTCCAGATCTTAGCTATTGTAAATAGTGCTGCTATGAACATAGGAGTACATATATTCTTCCTGATTGGTGTTTTAGGCTTCGTAGGGGATATTTCTAGAAGTGGGATCACTGGGTCAAATGGCAGATAATTGCTTTTAAATTGACTGTCAAATGCTAGGATATTACAACATTGCTTATGAGCTGCCATGCTCAAAATTTATGTAATAATAAGTTACATATATTAAGCATTTAAAAAAATTTATTTATTTTTGTTACAGATGTTTCTCCCCCCCCCCCCCAATGACACCCTCCTCCCACTCCCACCCCCGCCCCATATTAAGCATTTTTAATGGAAAGGATGAGTTCCCATAATAAATATAGCACCAAATGACAAATATCCACTAATCTTACTCAATACTTGATGAAACATCTGAGTAACATCAACAATTGAAAAGGAAAGAAATCATATTTATAGGAAATGCCTTGACTTTTATTCCCTGTGATGAACTAGAGAGTGCTTGTAAGAATTTTTCAGTTGAGGCTGAGTACCACAGGATATTTGTTGGAGGAGACAGTTTTCTTTGTTGTGCTGTTAATCCTCATCCGAGGGTCTCTTTCCATTGATTTTTAGATAGAGTAGAAGGGAGGGAGGGAGAAAGAGAGAGAGAGAGAAACAAGGATGTGTGAGAGAGACACATCGATTAGTTGCCGCTCATGTGTGCCCTTACTGGGGCATGGAACCTGCAACCCAGGTACGTGCCTTGACTGGAAATCAAACCCACGACCCTTTGGTCCACTGGCCAACACTGTAACCACTGAGCAAAACCATCCAGGGTGCAGGAGATAGTTTTAATTTTTAAAAAAATTTTAATCCTCACCAGAGGACATTATTCCATTTATTATCAGACAGAGTGGAAGGGAGGGAGAGAGAGAGAGAAACATCAATGTGAGAGAGACACATCTACTGGCTGCCTCCTGCATAACCTGACCAGGGCCAGGGACAAACTGCAACTGAGATACGTGCACTTGACTGGAATCGAACCCGCAACTCATTGGTCCATGGGCTGACACTCTAACCACTGAGCAAAACTGGCCAGGGCAGTAGACGGTTTTATAGGTAAACATTGTTGGAGGCCCAAAAGCCATTGGCACTGTTAAAGAAAGGTGCTATGATATGGTTGTTTACATCTGTACTGTCTCTATAGTTACTTTTAAGTAAAATATTCTGTATGCTTACATTTTGGGTCACTGACCACCCACTGAATAAGGAACTATCTATATATTGGTATTAGTTTTCTAGGGCTGCCATAACAAAGTACCACAGACTGGGGGCCTTAAACAACAGAAATTTATTTTCTCACAGTTCTGGATGCTGGGAGTCCAAAACAAGTTGTCAACAGGGTTGGTTTCTTTTTTTTTATACGTGTTTTCCAACTTTATTTTTATGTAATTGCCATATAACATATAAATTTAAGGTGTACAACGTGATGATTCAATATATGTATATATTATAAAATGATTACCACAGTAAGGTTAATTAATACTTTAATCACCTCACATAATTACTGTGTGTATGTGTGTGTATATGTTTAAAAGGTTGGTTTCTTCACCCTGGCCGGTTGGCTCAGCGGTAGAGTGTCATCACACGGTCCAATGAGTCATGGGTTTGATTCCGGCCCTGGTCGGAGTCGTGAGGGAGGCAACAAGTTGATGTGTGCCTCTCACGTCGATGTTTCTTTCTCCCTTTCTTTCTTTCTCCCTTTCTTTCTCTCTCCCTTTATCTCCCTCTCTCTCTTTCCCACTTTGAAGATAAATAGAAAAATATTGTCGGGTGAGAATTAAAAAAAAAAATTGGTTTCTTCTGAGGCTTCTTTTCTTGGCTTGTTAGATGGCCATCTATTTTGTGTCTTCACATGGTTTTCCTTCTGTAACTATCTGTTTCCAAATTTCCTCTTCTTATAAGAACATGATCATATTGGATTAGGACCCACCCTTAAATTTCATTTTAACTTTTTTTAAAATATGTTTTTATTGGTTTTTTAGAGAGAGAGGGAGGAAAAGAGAGAAACATCGATGTGAGAGAGAAACATCAATTGGTGCCTCTCACACACCCCCTATTGGGGATGAAGCCTGAAACTGGGCATGTGCCCTGACTAGGAATCAAACTGTGACCTCTCAGTCCATGGGACATCACTCAATCCACTGACCTACACCAGCTGGGCTTAATTACCTTTTAAAAGACCCTATCCTCAAATATAATCACACTCTGAAATATGGGGGATCAGGACTTTAACACACGAATTTTGATGGGATACAACTCAACCCATGACAGTGGCTTTGTTTCTTGGGCTTCTTTTCTGCCAGGACCTCATTAAAGTTCTTACTGCTATCTCATCTATCAATAGCCTGATTCCAAGTTTTATTTAAACAGATATAAATATCAATATAGATATGTGGGTAAGTATATTTTTTCTTTCAATTTTATTTATGCTAATATTTTCTCTCTTCTTGAGAGATAGAGGTTAGATTTAAATGTAGTTTAATATAGATACAATAAATCTTATGATACTCTGGGGAGATTTCTTAATTTGCCTATTTTCTGAAAGAAAAATGTAATTGCCAATCCTTGAAAACAGTAGCATTTTTACTATGGGTTGTATTGTTCTTCTCCACAGTATAATTTACTAATACTTAAAAAGTCTGGGATTTTTGGTAATTCAGATTTGCATTAGATTAAGGTTTATGTCTATGTCTAATTTATAAAAAACCTTTTAAACCAAATTGTCAAAAAAAGACCACAGGTTTTAAAACCTTGTTTAAAGAAAATATGTAAACGTTTTTCAGGAATTTAAAAGTAGTTTTTTTTAATATATATACTTTTTTATTGAATTTAGGGAGAGAGATAGAAACATTGATGAGAGAGAACATCAATTGGCTGCCTCCTGCATGCCCCACACTGGGGATCGGGCCCACAATCTGGGCATGTGCTCTGACTGGGAATCAAACTGGGACCTCTCAGTCCATGGGATGATGCTCAATTCACTAAGCCACACTGACCAGGAAATAGTTTTGTTCTTTTTATTGCTCAGTCCGTGGTATGTATGTACCATAATTTGTTTAACCATTCAATTGCCAACAAATATCTGGGTTACTTCCAGTTTTTTTACTATTACAGATAAAACTTCTATGGATATTCATATACAGGTTTTTATGTGGACATAACTTTTTAATTTCTGGAATAAATTCCTAAAAGTGCAATAGCTGAATCAGAAGGTAATTGCATATTTAGTTTGATAAGAAACTGCCAAAGTATTTTCCAGAGTGGCTGTATCCTTTTACATTCCTACCAGAATGCATGAGTGATCCAGTTTCTCCTCATCCTTGCCAGCATTTGATGTTGTCACTATTTTATATTTTAGATATACCAGTGCATGTGTAGTGATATCTCACTGTAGTTTTAATTTGCATATCCCCAATGGCTGATTATGTGAACATACTTTTATGTGCTTATTTGCTATCCATATGTCCTTTCTGATAAAGATTCTTTTCAATTCTTTTGCCAATTTTCTAATCAAATTGATATCTAAGAGTTTAGAATTTTTTCCTCTAGAGACATGTCCTTTGTTGACAATTTTTATCAACAGGCTATATCTCAGTTTAGGGCATACTTAAATTTAGCTAAGTCGTGAACATATTTTTGGTTCATTATGTCCAAATCCACCCAAACTATTCAAAATTTGGGGTTCTTTGAAGTAAAAAAAATAGAACTGGCAAGTGCTCTGGAAGACTAATTGACAGTTTGCTCACTAAAAGGAAAATTAAACTAGATTTAGAAATCAATATTGTGTGAGTCTGAGACTCATGCTGCCTTAGGTATTTTTCAAAAAATATTATCTTAATAATATTCTAACAATAGGATAACTAAAAATGACATCTCAAAACATAGTTCTTGCCCTGGCCGGTTTGGTTCAGTGGTTAGAGTGTCAGGCTGTGGGCCAGGGAGTCCTGGTTTCGATTCCAGCCAAGGGCACATACCTCAGTTGCGGTTCATCCCCGGCCCCAGTTGGGGTTGTGCGGGTAGCAACCAATTGATGGGTCTCTTTCACATCAATGTTTCTCTCTCTCTTTCTCTCTCTCTCTCCCCCTCCCTCCCTTCCTCCCTCCCACTCTGTCTGAAAATAAATGTAAAAATATCCTCGGGTGAGGATTAAAACAAAAAAGAAACAAACTAAAAACATAGTTCTTATATCATAGTACAGGGAAATGGGGCCACTACATTGCACAACTTTAGGGGGCATTCATTATTTTTATAGTATCTTAGGTGAATGATAACCACTGTAGTGCAAAGAACCCTTGACTTAACTGGTTAAAATAATGAAGATAATGCTGAAGAGTTTTAACAATTATTGTGATTACCAGAAGTTGGGATATATTTGATAGGAATAGAGTTACAACTCAACATTTGTTGAGATTCTGCCATGTGAAAAGTTCTACAAATAACTCATTTTTTTCACCTAGTGAAGTTTCTTCACTTATCAGATGGAAGAGCAGAGATGTAAAAAATGCTACCCAAAGATAATAAACTTGCTCACCTCATAGCAGTTGTGCTCCCTGCCTTTTCAATCCTTTTTGGTCCTTTCCTTCCAATAGCAGCCTGTGACGGCTCTTTTGTTTTGCTTCCCATCTCATAAGCCATCACTCTTCCTTCTCCCCATAACTTTACAAGCTCTTCTTCTTTTTTTAAATATGTTTTATTGATTTTTGTTCTTTTTTTAGAGAGAAAGATAGAAACATCTATGTGAGAGAACTACATCAATCAGCTGCCTCCTGCATGCCCCCCACTGGGGATCAAGCCCAAAACCCGGGCATGTACCCTGACCAGAAATCAAACTGGGACTTCTCAGTCCTTGGGATTGGGCTCAATCCACTGTGTGACACCAGCTGGGCTACAAGCTCTTCTTTCATTTATATATATCATCAATTTAAGCATCACTCTTTCTCCTGACTCTCCTCTACTCATTTCTCTGATCAGCACAAATAAGGCCAGAAACCAAGCGATATAAACATAGGTTGCTCTTTAGAAGAGAGTTCTGTGTGCACAGGCTCCTTTGAAACACATCATAAAACAAAGTATTACATATTTCTTTTCTGCTAGGATTCTAAAATTTGTTATTGGTATAATTTACTCTTGTAACAAGATTTAAGCAACAGTAATGTTCATGACTATAAGATCACTTATTCCAAACCATATGTATCAATTTGATATAACTTTTCAAATGTATTTAACATTGGAATATACTGTTAGATTTGAAAGCTTTCATTTTATTGTATAGTAATGTGTAACTCAAATACCCATAACGATTTAAAATAATGAATTTTCTAAAACCAAAGTTATAAAAGATTTAAATAACATTCCCCCCTTTTTCATTAGCTAAGAAATCTTCAAAACAAACTTGTTGTAAAAGAAACTTCATTGCAAGAGATGAAGAGTGAGCTAGAAAGTTACAAAGAAAAGAACTCGAAACAGTCGTTCCAGATAATCTCCCTGAAAAATGATATCAAGAACCTAGAAGAGCTTATTACTACCCTATCCAGAATTAAATGTTTGAAAAGCATCAATATTCAGAATCTTGAAAGAGGCAACCAGGATTTAAATGAAAGAATTTTAGAACTAGAAAACCATCTAAGGTAGGGAATTACCCCCACCCCACATTACTTGGTTTTCAATAATTTGCAATGCCCATAAGTCATATTTTAAATGTATTTTTAAAGACATAAAGATAATGTATTTTTTAAAGTACAACCACAACTATAAACTAGAGGAACTTAAGAAGACAATGATTAAATCTGCTTCATAACACAACATTAATATTTCCAAACAAGTTTGCTAAGAAACAGCTCCCATGTTTAATGTAAAAACTAAAACAGTCTTCTCATTTAAAAAAATCAAGACATCATTTGATTAATAAAACCTTTTCTTCCCCCAATCTTACACTGGCTTATCATTATTTAGAAATTGTAAATTCATGAGATAAGAACAAATTTTGTATCATGTGAAAATCTTAGGAACAACAAATTACAAATAACAATTTTCAAATAAACAGATGTTTTCCTTTCCAAAATGTAAACATCCAGTAAATAAAACACACATAATATTCCAGGTACAGAAACAATAATAATTCACTTATGAAGGAGGTGCATTGTGTATATTTGGTGGTAAGATTTTTGTTTTTCTTAAATATAAAGCACTTCGCCCTGGCCAGTTTGGCTCAGCGGTTAGAGCATCGGCCTGCGGTCCGGAGAGACCCGGTTCGGTTCCCGCTAAGGGCACGTACTTAGGTTGCAGTTTGTCCCCGGCCCTGGTTGGTCATGCGGGTGGCAGCTACTTGATGTGTCCCTTCACATCGATGTTTCTCTCTCTCTCTCTCCCTTCCTCTCTCTCCCTCCCACTCTATCTGTACAAAAAAATGGAAAAATATCCTCGGGTGAGGATAAAAAAAAAAAAAAAAAAAGATTAAATATAAAGCACTTCAAACAAACCAGGCCATTATTATTTAAAAGCCTACTCCTTGAAGAAGATGGCAGTGGGAAGGACCAGAGGGTAGGTGAATGTGTGAGAGAGTGAGCAAGTGTGAAAGAGTGTGAGTGGACATGAAGGTGGATGACCAAACCCGAGCGGTGCAGAGATGTGGAGCAGAAGGTTCCTGTGCTGTGGACGGAGCAGCCAGCTAGCGTAAGTGGCCCTTCAGGGCGCTTCTCCCTATGCCCCGGGGAGCTCCCACCATTTTGGAAGATCCCGGGTCTTCCCTGGGAGGAGGCAGTGGGAGCGGCCAGGGCCTAACAACCTGAGCCCACCAGCGTATCTGGCACCATCAGACCAGTGGACACTCTCTGTCAACACAGACCACTGCACAGTAGTGGAGCTCCCAAGGTGCCAGTGGAGGAAGCCATGGACAGCCCGGAGTCCAGCACCATCCCCCATAGTAGCAGCCCTATCAGAGTTGAGATATACCCCCAGCAACAGAGGATGGGGAGCAGACAGGCAACAGAGGCACAGACCAGCAGCTGAGACCCATCCCCAAAAACTACAACAATAGCTGAGCAGGAGTTGAGCCCCTCGGGGCAGCAACACTCCCCAGCCGCAGGACCTGAGGCTCCACAGAGGCCTGTGAGGTTCAGTAGCCCACAGGAGCAGTGGGAAGCCAGAGCCCAAGAGAGACTGGTGGGATCCAACTACATGCTTGCGGGAACTGCAGGGTGCACCAGAGAGGCCTGTGTGACCCAGCAGGGACCGTGCAATCTAGTTACCCCCAGGACCTGCAGGGTGCTGAAGCACCAGAGAAGCCTGTGCGACCCAGCAGCCCATAACAAAGGCATAGAGCAGGGTCCCCAAAGGGACTGTGCGATCCAGTTACCCGTGGGATCTGCAGGGTGCTGGGGCACCAGGAAGGCCTGTGCAACCCAGCTGCACACAAGGTGGACATAGAGGATGTGAAAAATGGAGGTGGAGTGAATAGAAGCTATGCAGATGATCTCCCAGGACCAAACAGGAATTACAACTAAAATAAAGACAAATCCTCAGAAAAAAAGCAACAGAAAAGCAGCAGGACAGGACCATATAACCAGGGACACTGGTAGGATCTGCAGAGGCATGAGAGGGTGGTGGGCTGGGAGCCTATGGACAGCAGCAGTCTTAGCTGTGAGCAGAGCCCTTGGGGAATAAAGGCCAAGCCTGCTCCACAGTGCAGAGAGCCAGGACAGAGCACTAAAATAGCCACAGCCACTCACCTGGGGACTAACACAGAGGGAGGGCAGACTGGGCTGGAACTCTGTGGGGACACCCGGGATTTGGAGGCTACTCAGAGTTTTTGCTGAGTTGTGGCCACAAATGACGGTGACCAGTGTGCTCTTTCCCAGAGCTGTGGGGAAAAGCAGCAGCAGCCTCCACCCACCCCCTGCTCTGGGAGATTCAGCCTTTTCCAGGTGAGGCAAAGAAATGCAAATTGAGGCTCATTAACAACCAGCATCTATCCCACCCTCTGGAAATCCTTTTATGCAGAACAGCAGGGCTACATTCCAAGGCACTGAGTAACGGACACTACTAGCAACCAGGAAAAAACTAGAGGATAACTGAACCTTTCCTGGGCTTGCAAATGTACCCAGGAAAATAAGACTTGACAGTGGTGTTTAACCTTGGGCCCACCCAGGCTCATCCAAACCCAGTAGAGGAAGCCACAAACAGCAGAACACCAACACCCACAGGGAAAATTTGGCAGGCTCCAAAACCCACGGAGATAGCCAAAATGGTGAAACAAAGAAACAAATCCAAAATGAAAGAACAAGAGAACTCTATCGAAGATGAGATCAATGAAATGCAGCTAAGCAAGTTATCAGAGGTAGAGTTCAGAGCCATGATCTTGAGGAAACTCAACAGCATGAGTAGGGACATCAGCACCATGAGTAAACATATAGAAACACTGAAAACCAACCAAGTGGAAATGAAGAATAACACACCAGAAATTAAGAACCCATTGGAAGGTCTAACCAGCAGAGTAGAGGAAGCTGAGGACCAGATCAATGAATTAGAAGACAGGGTAGAAAAAATCAACTAATCAGAAAACCAAAAGGAAAAAAACAATTAAAAAAACAGGAAGACAGCTTAAATGAACTGTGGGACAACTGGAAACGTAATAACATTAGCATCATAGGAGTCCCCGAAAAGGAAAAAAATGGGCAAGGGTTAAGAATATATTTGAAGAAATAGTGACAGAAAACTTTCCTAACTTGGTGAAGAAAGAAGGCATTCAAGTTCAAAAAGCACAGAGAGCCCCAAGTAAGAAGAACGCAAACAGGTCCACACCAAGAAACCTAGTAATTAAAATGCCCAAAATTAAAGACAGAATCCTAAAAGCAGCAAGAGATAAGCACCAGGTTACCTACAAAGGAAACCCCATAGGCTCTCAGCTGACTTCTGAACAGAAATACTACAGGCCAGAAGGGAATAGCATAAAGTAATCAAGGTCATGAAAAACAAGGATCTGAAGCCAGCAAGGCTATCATTCAAAATAGGTCAAATAAAGAGTTTTCCAGACAAAAAAAAAAAAAGGCTAAGGAAATATATTAACACCAAACCAGCACTGCGAGAAATGTTAAAAGGATTGCTGTAATTAGTAGAAGAAGTAGGAAGAAAAATAAAACAACACTAAACAAAAATGGCAATAAATAAGTACATATCAATTATCACCTTAAATGTGAATGGCTTGAATGCTCTGATAAAAAGACACAGATTACCTGATTGGATAAGAAAGCATGATTCACATATATGTTATTTACAAGAAACCCACCTCACAACAAAAGACTCACATAGGTTGAAAGTGAAGGGATGGAAAAAATCTTTCAAGCAAACGGAAAGCAGAAAAAAAACTGGGGTAGCAATAATCATATCTGATAAAGTAGATTTCAAAATGAAGGCCATAACTAGAGATAAAGAAGGCCACTACATAATATTGAAAGGATCTATCCAGCAGGAAGATATAACCTTGGTAAACATATATGCACCCAATATAGGAGCACCAATATATATTAAAAATCTTTTGGAGGACTTCAAAGGAGAAATCAACAGCAATACAATCATATCAGGGGACTTCAATACCCCACTGACATCACTGGATAGATCTTCTAGACAAAAAATTAACAAGGAAACACAGACTCTAAATGAAGCACTAGATCAAATGGATTTAATAGATATCTACAGAGAATTACATCCCAAAACCTCAGAATTCACATTTTTCTCAAGTGCACATGGGACATTCTCAAAGATAGACCACATGTTAGGTCACAAACTAAGTCTCTACAAGTTCAGGAAGATTGAAATCATATCAAGCATCTTCTCAGATCACAATGGCATGCAACTAGAACTCAGTTGCAACAGGAACATGCAAAGATATTTGAAAACATGGAGGCTAAATAGCATGTTATTGAACAATGAATAGGTTACCATGGAGATCAAGGAGGAAATTAAAAACTTACTGGAAACCAATGAAAATGAACACACAACAACACAAAATCTATGGGACGCAGTGACAGCAGTTCTGAGAGGGAAGTTCATAGCACTACAGGCCTACCTCAAGAAACAAGAAAAATTTCTAATTGACTATCTAACCTCACAACTTAAAGAACTAGAAAGCAAACAGAAAGAAAACCACAGAGCAAGTAGAAGGAAGGAAATAGTAAAGATCAGAGCAGAAATAAATTACATGGAGACAAAAACAAAACAAAACAAAAAAACCCTTAGCTAGACTCACCAAGAAACAAAGAGAACCCAAATACACAAAATCAGAAATGAAAGAGGAGAAATAATAACTGACACCACAGAAATACAAAGGATTGTTAACAGATATTATGAACAATTATACGGCAACAAATTTGACAGTCTAAGCGAAATGGACAAATTTCTAGAAACACATAGCCTCCCAAAACTGAACCGGGAAGAGAGAGAAAACTTGAACAGACCAATAACAATAAAAGAAATTGAAGATGTAATCAAGACTCTCCCAGCAAACAAAACCCCAGGCCTGGATGGCTTCACAGGGGAATTTTACCGAATATTCAAAGAAGAACTAATACCCATTCTCCTCAAACTATTTCAAAAAATTCAAGAAGAAGGAAGACTTCCAAACTCGTTTTAT